AAAAAAAAAAAAAAAAAAAAAAAAAAAAAAAAAAAAAAAAAAAAAAACACCAAAAAAAACTTACATTGTTTTCAAATTTAGTTTAAAGCTATCTCCAAAATGAAGTAATTTATCTTTTGTTTTGGAGCAATCCTTAGATATATGGATTACTGATTTTTATAAACTACAGAGAAAAATGAACATAGACATGTTAAGAAGTGGTTTATTAAATGAATTGTGGGGTGTGAGTGTGTGTGTGTGTGTGTGTGTGTGTGTGTGTGTGTGTGTGTCTGTGTGCGTGCGTGCCTGCACTTGCACACACCTGCATGCACGCATGTGTGCAGACTCACATTCTCACATGTCTACACATAACACAACACTCAATGCAAATACAAGAACATGACTCTAGTGATATTCTGCCCTCCTGTGAGTGGCCACACAACACTGGAAGAAGACAGATATCAGCAGGCATGTCCAGGTGACTGGCAAATGTACTATTTTGGTTGAAGAACTTCTGTGTAGAAGCTGTGGTGGTCTATCTGTGGGTCAGCAAGGAGATGGCTTTCCCACTGTCTCCCAGGTGGGGCAATGATCGTTTAGGGTTATTGTAGGATAGATGTCCTTCAGAATATACAGCATCAAGGTGACAGTACAAGTACACATCAGAGATGTCAGTCCTGGATTCATCTCTGACAAACTCAATTGATTGTCATCTCATTATTTCATTTTGAAAGTTAGGCTAGAATTTCTCCAAGCGATTTTGTGTGCTGTAGTAGTACAGCTATTGGAATGAAAGCAATATTAGGTCAACTCTGTTTCATGCAGAGGAGGAAGATGAAGCCTGTAGACCGTAAGCAACACGCTAAACCACACAGTGCATTCCTGGCAGACAGGAATCTAAAGTGCACTGTAATTATATCTTCTGATTAAGCTACTGCAAAGTGGGTGTGAAGAAAGTCTGTCCAACTTGGCGAACTCGAGCAGGAATGCCAAAGGCAGAGTTACCCGGCTAGATTCTAGTTACTAGCTATTCCCCAGGACAAGGGCCCAAACTTCTAACAGAAATTAGAAGAGGGATGAAAGCTAACCACAATTGCACTTGAGATCCAGGAGGTTTGGACGGCAGGAACAGCAAGTCTAAAAGCTGCAGAGAAAAGTATAATGCTATAGAAGGAAGGTCTGAAAATACAGAAAATTCAATCATCATAGAATGAAACTCACCCATAAGGAAACTCTGACTTGCCACATTAACCAAGAAACAGGCAAGAAATCTCTGTTTAGATGTTTCAAGATTCTAGCATGACTGCATGGAACAACTTCAACATTGTAGACCTTAAGTGAAGACTGATAGATGGCATGCTACATAGTCAAATTGTACATAGCATTTACAAAGCTACCAAAGATGGATGTGAAATGTCAGTCTAAGCTAGAACATGCTAAATAAGGCAGAGCATTATCTAATGAGAAAAGTTTTATGGCCCCTTTAAGTGGAAAAATACACATATATATTCATGTATTTGTAAACATATATGTACACATGTATGTACATAGATTAGAAAGATGCAGCTAGACAGCTGTGGAAGATAAGCTAAAACAAAGAAAAAAACACAGCAATGAACCCTTGCATTGCCCAGAAGTATAGACAGGTGACGCATGGCCAGGTTGTCTCACTCTAGGCTAAAGGACACTCAACATATTAAACTCACTGTGTACTGACATAGAAGAGAGGTAGTCAACAAACACAACAGCATTTAAGAAATAACAGAGAGCAAAGAGCCCAGTAAATGTGTCATATAAAGAATGACTGGGGGAGATGTAGTGATTAAAGACACCAGACATTAATTGTCCCAGATCATCATGGTTCAATCCCTTGATGCCTAGCAATTCTTCATTTCTCTGAGCTCCAATCAAATGAGCAATGTAAAAAATACTATCTCATAGTCTTGTGAAAAGAATTAAAGATTTAACTCATTCTGGCAAATTGCTCAGACTTAGGACCCAAAATGAGGGAAGGGCCATTTGTGGGAAGAAAAATCCATAAAGGCTTAAAAGCTGTGATGGGGAAGAAATAATAAATGTGTGCACCACACCTACAGGAAATAAAACTAAAAGCACTCATTCCTATCAAAAGGGTTATTGCCAATCCAACATACAGAAAGCTGAATGCTAGACAAAAGCATTGATATGTACGGCCTATTTTGTCATGAGCCGATTTCTTCTGTTACAACACACTCCATACTGCCTAACTGGAGGTGGCATCTCCCCACCCTCCTCTTGTAGATTAATTATCTTAATGTTACGGTTCCAATAAAAGTAGAAGTCTAAAGCCAGATAGATATGTCGAGGATACTCTCCTCCAGAGACTCATAGACATTCCAAAAGATTTCTTGTAAGGCGGCTGTTCCCAATTAGAGGCATGGCTTCCTGCACAAAGGGAGAATATGTTTAGTTGAATGGAGATGAGGTGTAAATGCCTTGGGTCTTCTTTGCGAACAGGTAAAAGTAATGCTAACAATTAAGTGAGAGTGATGAAGTACGAATCTTGAAGTACAGAAGAAAAAGTGGATTACTTTCTGGAAAACAGGAAATAACAGGGGGAGGAGCCATAGTCATGACTGCTACAGAAAGCAGTCACAGTGGAAAACCTTAGAACTGTGGTTCTCAACCCGTGGGTCACGACCCCTTCGGGGTGAATGACTCTTTCACAGGGGTTGTCCAAGACCATTGGAAAACACAGATATTTGCACTACGATTCCTGGCAGCAAAATTACAGTTATGAAGTAGCAACAGAAATATTTTTATGGTTGGGAGTCACCACAACACGAGGAACTGTGTATTAAAGAGTGGCAGCATTTGGAAGGTTGAGAATCACCACCTTAGGGACACAACATGAAGAAAAGGTGGTAACAGTGGCCTGCAGCTTGTGACACATGAGGTAGAACATTAAACGTATGTATGACGACCCTGCATTAGGACATTTCGTTTGTAGTCAATGAATTTAAAAATCAACAGAGTGCCACTAAAGTATAATGGTAAAAATTCTTAATGCCAACAGCAATAGTATCAAGCTGAGTAAAAGGGCACTGTTTTAAGAGTCAAATTAACATTCACCAGAAAAAAAGCACAGAATTTAACAAAAGTCACTTACATGCCAGGGTAATTGGGTAGCAGGCTGCTTTGCTGAAAACCATCAATTAAGGAAGAGCATCATTTAAAATTCCTACTATATTATCACAGGTTAAAAATAATCAAAACACAATAGCACTACTGTCTTCTAGTGAGAAAAAAAAAACCAACAGTAGCAGTCTATAATGTGCAAAGCTCTAGGTCTTACCCAACATGCTTCTCGGGGATCAAGAAAGTTGGTTGACTCCCTTATGTGATTCACCTTCAAGGTATGCTTAGTAATAGAGCAGCTTTCCAGCTCCCCATGCCCACCAGTGCTGCAGGTGGAGTGTTTTCACACTGACGCACAGAGAGGACGAGAACAACCAGACAGAGTGAGAACAGCTCTGTGGGGTCACATGTTCAAAGGCTTGGATTCTGGTTCCAGCTTTTCCAAAAGAAGCCAGGGGACTTTGGAGTGCTTTGCTAACCACTCTGGGCCTCATGTTTCTCGTGGAGTTGTAATCATAATTGCCCTGCCAGCCTCATAGACAGTTTGTTCAATCAAGCAAAATGACATACAGCTATCCTCTGCAAAATGCCAAATCCTTTTCACACCCATCCACGTGTATACGATGAAATTTTGTGAAAATCCATGTGAAAAGTCCATCTTTTCTGAAGAAAATCAAATGGATCATCATACTTCTAAGGGAATTTCAAGATGCTACAATTTGAATTTGTTACATTTCAACCAAGTGGAAGATGCAATTTAAAATCATGGAGAAAATTACTGGGAAAGAATCATGACAGTGTAGTTTTTGTCAGAGATCTGCCAGCAGATGGCACTGTGCACTCTTGGGATTGGAGAAGGACAAGCTAGCTGCTTCCCTATACCTTGGAGAACCTACATCCCAGTTGGGTTGTCCTAGGTCTTCCCATGTTTACCCACAAATAAAACAGCTCCCACCAAATTAAACAGAAATTTCAAAATAGCATAAGGAAAATCCTGTTTTGAACTACTATTTATTTGACTCTTAAAAGCAGAGCAAAATATTGGAAAACTCTTATTTTGGGTTTGTATGTCATCTGATCATAATTTTATAAAGAGGCCCAAAGACAGCCACCCCACCCACTCACCCCCACCATGGGCTGCCTCTCTTGACCATGCAATAAAAGCAGTATAGAAAGAACTAAGAGTGTATCATACTCAATTCCCAACTTCAGCCTGTCACAGGGGACTAAAATAACTTTTGTAAAGAAAAGAATTTTATAACTTTTAGTGACAAAGAAAGCTTATTTCCC